ACACGAAGGGTGGGGACGGGATGGAATTTCAGAAGGAAAGGAGGCTTAGATGTGGAGGTTGCCTGTGGGGTGTATCACAATGATTTGCATTGATTTGTTTTGTTCTTTGTAAGGAGTAAGAGGGCTCCTTGCCTTGTTGCTTTCACGACTGGGAGGAATAGTGTTTCTTTGATTATTCAGTCTCCCATCAGCCACATTGATACTGGAATTTGTTCCCTCTCTGCTTAGGTATCTTCATACTTTCTTGGACAATTAAGTGGAAAAGATAGTGCTTCTTTCCCTTATGCCATCATTTTTACTGTACCCAATCTGTGACTTTAGGAGCACCAATTTTTAAGGGTAAGTCTCTGGGAAGCAGAGAGGGTTTCTTAAATAGGTAAGGGCCTCCTAAGGACTTGGAGAGTTTAGGGGAAAAAAGGGGGAGGATGGGCTTGGGATGGAGAGATTCCATACAGCAGGACATTTTAAGATTACAAATCTTTTACTTATCCAGAATCAAGACATATTGGAGAATTAAAAATAAGAAAACTGCTCAATTCTTTTGCCTAATTTACTATAATGCATATATCAGTCACCTTAGACCCTTTTTGGAAAAAAGTCATTTTAAAAAACTCATTCTAATGTAACGCAAGAATATAACATCAGGAAAAGCTCAAGCTGATTAACACAGCAAACCATTTTTTTAAAATCCTGTTTCCCACTTTGTAGCTAATTGACTATTTATTTATTGGCTGCGTTGGGTCTTTGTTGCTGCGTGAGGGCTTTTCTCTGGTTGTGGCGAGCGGTGCACTGGCTTCTCATTGCGGTGGCTTCTCTTGTTGCAGAGCACAGGCTCTAGGTGCACGGGCTTCAGTAGTTGCAGCAAACGGGCTCAGTAGTTGTGGCTCGTGGGCTCTAGAACACAGGCTCAGTAGTTGTGGTGCAAGGGCTTAGTTGCTCCGCAGCACGTGGCATCTTCCCGGACCAGGGCTCGAACCCGTGTCCCCTGCATTGGCAAGGCAGATTCTTAACCACTGCGCCACCAGGGAAGTCCCAGCAAACAGCTTTTTAAAAGCAGCGTTGGTATTTATTTTCTCAAGGCAGTTTGACAGGCTCTGCAGTTATGCCCTGAGTTTGAATCCGGCTGTGTGTTAGCGCTGTGACAGGTGCAGATCACAGCAGCACTATCTCCTGAGCCCGTTCTGTGCATTTAGAGAGTTTCAGGGGAAGCATTTAGCATTATTCCTTACACAGATTAAGTAGCGCTCAATAAATCCAGTTGCTGTTATTTCTATCAGAAATATTAGTATGTACACCATGCATAACATATAAAGGTAATAATAGAAAACAAAATTTCAAAATCCAAATATAGATGCTAGAGTAAAATCCACTCACTGACTTACCTAGGACTGTTTTGCTTATTAATTGAGATACCGGCGCAAGGCAGGTAGATGTGTGTGCTGAGTAGGCAGGAGAGCAGGCTGGCTCACCTTCCCCTCCACCGCCACGAAGGGGTCAAGGTGAAGTACAAGCAGATCTGTTTATGAGGCCACCTGCAGCTGCTTAGCAGGCAACCAATGTTGCCTGGGTTCCTAAACCCATCAGTGTCCTAAACCCATCTTCCTGGGATAAAGAGATGAGTGGGATCATTCCTTTCATATTGTAGATGCCAGTGCCCATGTGCCTGGACAAACTCCTTATACCATGGGAATGGAAGATTGGAGATACATGAGGCCAACAGATCAGGAAACGACTGCCGGAGAAAAGACAGTTTATTACAGTTCCTTCGAGGAGGGGCACACCGTGCCCTGGGGCGGGGGCGGGGCTGCGTGGGGAAGCACCTGTGGGCCAGGAGGCGGAGGGGAGGGGCCTGTGCTGCGGTCTCTGCGGGAAGGTACGGGCAAGGCAGGGGAACACATGTAGGATGGGCCAGTTTGGGTAGTTTCTGCGGGCTCTGGGGCACAAAGACAGTCCCGAGTTGTCTGGAGCCTGGCCCTGGTGTGATCAGGGCAGGTGGAGAGTGGCCTGGAGTGTGAGAGCCTGGTCAACGGGGTGGTCAGGCGTGTGGACTCCGGACTCGCTGGTTTGCATGAGAAGCACGCTCGCGTCTGAGTTGTTCACTACGTGTGGGCACTAACTGGCTGACCCTGGGAGGGGCAGTCTCTCCACGGTGGGCAAGGCCGCAGAGGTCAAAGCATCAGAGGACAGAAAAGACCCGCTTAACGTCAATACAACAGGGTGTGGCTTCACTGTCAGCCTGAGCTTCTAAATACGCTGAATGCGTTTGCTGTGTCCCAGGAAGAGCAGGCTCTGAAACCTGAGGGGATTCTGGGGCGAGCCCCCCAGCTGACCCCTCCCTTCAGCTGCGGGCCTGTTTCCATCGTCCCGCCCGGCTGCTCCCTTGGACGTGCCGTGGCTCCCTGGCGCACATCTCGTCCCCTGCCCCGGAGCTCTTCACTGCCCGTGCCTCCTCCCGTCTCTGCGCGTCTGTCCACTCAACCCTTGCCGCTCCCTCTTCCCACGCGCAGTCAGCCTTCCCCTGCGACCTGCTACCCCACCTCATCGTGTGTCTTGAATGAGCGAATCTGGCCATGGAACTTTTCTCTTCGGCCCGTGCTTTCCTGTAGGTCCTCCTGTCTCTGCCAAGATCCCTGTCATTGAGTCTCACCTGGCCTCCTCCTCGCTAGTCTTTTTGTCCTTGAAACCAATTGATTTTTCAACATCAGACTCCATCAATTTTCTATTGAAAAGCCTTGACTGGCTTCCTGGTGATTATGGTGCAAGTTCAAAATCCCGGACATGACACACAAGGCTTCCCCAGCAGACCCCAGCCACCCTTTGACTTGTGACACTCGTTCCGTTACTGTGGAGGGTCAGCCACACCTGACCTCTGGCCGGCTCTCGGTCCACAGCTAGCTGCCACCCCTTCTCTCCTACCTGATGAAGGCCCATATTCCCTAAGACTCAGGACATGTGTCACCTCCTCTGAGAAGCCGCCCCCAGTCCTTCTAACTGGACTCAGACCCTCTTTCCTTCACATCTCCTTAGTACTTCTCACCCACCCCCTCACCGAAACGATCTCAGAGTAGCTTGGCTGTTCTTGCCTGTGACTTCTTCATCACATCTTATTCCTTATTCATTCAGCAGATCTTTGTTGAATATTTGCCCTCTACAAGGCATTATGCCAACTGTTGAGGGTGGAGAAATAATAGAGATCCGCAAGAATCTAATAGCCTCCTTGGGGAGAATGGGAACCAAAGACACAACCAGAGAAACTTGCGAATGTCTAATTCCAATTAAAATGTGATACCTGCAGCGACAGGTGTATCGACAAAGTCCTGTGGACAAAGAGAAGAAAGAACTCTGCCGGACAATCAGGAAAAGCTCCAGGAAGTAGCATTTGAGGTGGATCTTGACAGATGAGGGCGAGTTCGAGATGGAAGAGCAGGGAGAGGTGGGGAGGGTTGGTGATTCCATGGCTCTTCTCTTCCCCTAAGCGCCCACACAAGAAAAATGATATCCACGTGCAAAAACGCTCAAACCAGTTTTCCTTTTTCTCCCTTGAACACTGGAATATTCCCTCTAGGTGCCCTTGATTACGTATCCTTGTGTTTCTCAGTCTTACTAGCGGCTCAGGGGAGCAGACAGCCAGACACAGCTGCCTGCATTTCTCAAGGTTAGATTCAGTGAGAAAAGCGTAACGCAGCACCTCCCCCCCCCCCGCCCCCCATGAAGCTGGAACTCACGTCACCAGAGTTAACTGCTTAGTTGGGTTGAGTGTTCACACTGCCATCCTCTTTACACTTAGATTTATGATGACTTGAATCTGAGGCAGTTTTCAAAACCTTCTCTACTGGGAAGTTTACTCTATTAATAGGCCTTCCAAAAGTCCATATGCCTCAGTGCCATAGAAATGTGAAACTACCCCTAGGGCCCCAAATATTCCAGCCTTGCTTTTAGCTGTCAAGCATACTTTGGAGTCAAATAACCCTCTTTAAAGGCCTGGCCCTGCTGCCCACTGGTGTGTGCTCTCGGGGAAGTTATTTAACCTATTGGAACCTCAGCTTCTTTCTTGGTGAATGCAGAGCTCACCTGATAGAGTGTTATGAGTTAGGATTAATCAAATAATGCAACATGGTGAACGATGTGATTCCTAGTGTATAGTAAGTACTTAGTAAATGGAAGGTGCGTATTTTTGGTGATGTTATTAATATTATGCTCAGCCAGTTCTTATGTGGGCTAGAGAGATGTCTTAGGTAGATACTGAATTATCAGTTTCCAAAAAATCAGGCAGCATTAAGACAGATGTGGGGTGGAGGGTGGGAGAAGCAGGTAATAACCCCTTTATGTCTTTGTATGTTTTATTAAACGTTGTCAAAACACTTTAAAAAATATCACGTCATGTGTCATTATAGGAAAGCTAAAATAAGGGATGGGAGCATTTGACATGTTTTCGTCTAACCCTTTCGTCTGAATTGAATGCCACTTGGTTTAATTAGTTGATGATACAGCAGTTTCTTCATTTTATTTTCATCCAACTCCAGCTTTTAGTTTGGCAGTCTATAAGTAAAATCATGCTTTTTAGTCCAGATAGACACTCATTCTCACTTCTTAGTACTGATATATATTCCTACTGGTAGAGGGTTATTTAGTGTCTATGTGTGTTTCCTGAAAGGAAGCAGTGGTGTGTAGAGTTCAGGATTCTTAATCAGAAATCTAGTTAAGCTGTGAAATTACAATGGAATAGGTAGTTATAGCTAATTCGTCTAGTTTTCTCTTTATGTCTGATCTTAATGCCATAGACAGAAATGTTTGACTAGGTTTCTAGTAAAAAGCCTCTTTCCTTTGTAGGAACATTGGTTGCCTGCATTTACAATTTTATACGGAGCTCTAGAAGTAGACATGAAAATCAGTGGTGCAAAAAAAAAAAAAACAGTATGACTTGCAGTTCTTATCATCAAGAACATCGTTTCCTATTTCCTTTGTTCATTTCTGTGCTTTCTTCTCATCTACCCACATAGAAAGAACGTTGGTGAAAAGCACAGAAACCAGTGACTTTTATGGCTGTGGAATTTCCATGGAGAAAAGAGCATCAGAACGCACCTGGACCATCTTTTGTACCCGGCAAACCCTCCACACTCCCTGGCGTGTTCTGTGAATTTGAGTGCATGTGTGTTCAGGGTGCTTTCAGGGAGGAAGCACACCTAGCCTCTAGACAAGGTGGGGAGAGGTGGGGCGGGGCGGGGGGGGCAGGATGAGAGAGACTGTGGAGCAAATGTTTTACAACCTGAACCTCAGAACTGTGATCCTCCAAGGAGAGCGCTACTTGAAGAAAAAAAAAAAAAAGTCGAATGGCTTCTCAGGGATTTTATTTTCCGTGCACATATAAGCCATAATTCCAGTACAGGTGGCAGTATTTAGAGCACTCAGATTTCAGTTCTGTTAAATGTGAAAGAGAGATCGACTGACCATTCATTGCTGTTCCGTAACTAGTGTAAAATATATATATGTTTATCTTTATTTTTATAATATGCAAATACATTTAAATTTATACAGTTTGAAGCTTCTAGAGTTAGTTCACACTGGGTGCAATATTCTGATGAGAACTGTGCCAAGATGGGGCTGATTTCTTATTTTAGTATAGGACCTTTTGTTTATTCTTTAATTCTTTGCAGATTAAAAAAAAGATACTATCTCTCTGCCCATGGATTAAGGGTTGGTTCATAGAGTCTGACGATAATCAGCAAGAACTTTGAACATGCATTTCAGGTCAGGCGGTGTCCGTCCTTTTAAATAAAGGTCCCTGCCTGTAACCTGTTGGGCAGGGTAGGAGGATTCTTCCTTTTCTTTGCCCCCACATATCACTAGTGTTGGGCAGAGTCTTCCTTGCTCCGGGCTTTGTGATGACTGTGAGTTGTTACTGGGTGATAGTCTGACGGAGGCCTGGCGATTAAGATTCTTCTGGGGACAGGGATCAAGGGATCCACAAATCCAAGGAAAAGCAGAGTTTTGCAATAGCTTCAGATAATCAGGAGTCAGTTCTGAAGCAGGTAAAGAGCTCTGCTAGTAAGTCCTTTCTTTTCTGCCCCCAGAAAAGAGTCCGTGAAATTTAGTAGAGCACTCTGAAAGCCTCCACATCTGGTGTAAGACCGAAAGCTAGCGAGTTGCCTAACTGGAGAGCATAAGCCCACATTGGTTATTTTATAAATACAGAGCCTCTGACTGGATGGTCTACTGCCAAGAACTAGTAAAACCCTGGTTTTAAAACCTCTGCGAGGTAAAACTTAAAAAGCCAACCAACCAAACTGCTCTCTCTTCTCCTCCTTACCGGGGCCAAACAGCATCTGCTGCAATAGTAACAACATTCTTTGAAGAGTGTGCCTGACTCTGTTTACATCTGCCTCCTCTGCGTGTTGACTGAAAATGTGTAGAACTGTTTCTCACCCCTGTAAGGCAAGAAAAATGAGTCAGCTGGTATTATTCTTTTACTTCCTCTATAAAGTAGTGACTCTTGGAATGCCACAGTATACAACGTCCCCACATATTTTTGAAAGAAGTAACAAGCAAGTGGCTGCATTGTGAAAAATCGCGAATAATTTTTGTAGATTATTTTGTGCCCCAGGAGGTAACTTTATTAACTCCAGAACCTCAGTGAAACAAGTATGACTTCTTATAATCATAAAATCAAATGGGATCAGACTAGTTCTGCATTTTAATACTTGAATATGACACCTCAAATTTGCATTTTCTTTTGGAACAGTCACGAGATTCACCTTCTTAATCCTTTTGTCACAGTTCTCCTGTGCGTGTGTGTGTGTGTGTGTGTGTGTAAGTGTAAACTGAATGGTAACATTTAATTGCTTTATGGACCATTGAATTGTTGGGCGTAAATGTTTTTTCAATCGGCACAAACAGTTCCTGAACTGTCAAATTAACCGACTTTGACCAGGAAAAGACTTGTAAATGACTTCAGGCTAACTCCCCAGGGGACCATATTAAATGAAAATAAAAAAGCTCCTTTGGGTGACATACCCTGCAAAGTATGTGCTCTTGTCATGAACATAGATGCCCACATTCTTAATATCTGCTATTTTTGGACAAGTGATGTTTTGTGCTGTCATCTGAACCCTAGAGAAGCAGTATAAGAAGAAAGTTTGGTGTCACATATATTTTAGCAAAAAGGTCATCATGATAGAGGGTCATGTGACCAAAAGCAGCTCCAGAAAAGCTTGAGAACTTGCTTCACGGTTGGGGGAGGGTCGGAGATACAGAAAACATTCTGCTCTATAGGAATTTTCTTCATTTATGCAGGAAATTCCATTTTCTCTTTCAACACCTGGGAAGACTCAGCCGGGGAGGCTGACAGGCAATTCGTAAGCACAAGGGGAATCTTTTCCAACCAAGACGTCCCTGCCTCGCAAACAAAAGCCCTCCAAGTTTGTTATGGTTTCTATTCCTGCATCTTGTGGTATCAAAACCACTTCCTGGAATTGTAAAAGCGCTGCCAGAACAAATGTTTTTCCCTCTTGCAAGAAAAAACGACAGTGCTTGTATTTCACACTTGTGCACTGGACTCTCTTGAATGAATAAAATGGAAAGGGTTTGGTGTCATTCCTGATGAGGTGTGTGTTCTCTTTCATGCCACAGTTTGTGAATTGTAATTGTGGTTTCCTATTTAATTGTCATAACCAGGCAGAAATTTAAAAAAAAAACAAAAACGTTTAATAAAAACACAAAGAAATAGTTAAGCAGTTATATTTCCAGAGTTGAGTTATTTCTGTCTGTTTTTGTTTGTTTCGGTTTTATCAGTTAGGAACTCACTACATTCCATTTTAGTTCTGAAGGCACTTTTGAGCCACAGGAGGTAGATGGCGGCAGCTCTGGTTGTGGACTGAGCTCCCAGGAAGGAAACGAATGAATCTGTTTCATACTCTGCCTCCACCTTCAGGCTGGAGATTCAGGTCTTGAATATCGACCGTCTCTTAAATCAGAACCTTTTTTCAGCGATCTATGTTCCTATCAAAGCTTATAAAATTATGATTGGTTTGCAAGTTCCCTCCTCCTGGCCTTTCTTTGCCCCGGGGGAGGGGTGGGGTCTGTATTTGCTGGCTGAAGGGGCTGACCCTTGGGTACTGATTCCTGCCCCACCCCCACCCCAGCTTTTTGTTTGTTTGTTTGTTGTTTTTTCTAAAGGACTGTTGAGATAAGGATAAGGAAAGGAAAAGCATGTGGCTGCTTCTTGCAGAGGTAACAGCCTCTGGGGAAGGACCTGGTGCAGACGAGCCCTGCCCTGAGGCGCTGGGGCATTGGGGACACGGAAGAAAGGGCCCCCTCCACGAGGAGGGGCCTCATTGTGAGACTCCTGAGAAGGTAGGTGGGGCCACTGTGTGCTCTGAATCCATGTCTCCCTCTGCCAGTGGAAAAGCTGAAACCACGTGCTGATCAGAATTTTCCAGAGTAGCAAAGCATCCCAGTGTTCATAGCAGCACTATTTACAATAGCCAAGACATGGAAGCAACCTAAATGTCCATCGACAGAGTCATGGATAAAGAAGATGTGGTATCTATAGACAATGGAATATTACTCAGCCATAAAAAAGATCGAAATAATGCCACTTGCAGCAACATGGATGGACCTAGAGATTATCATACTAATTGAAGTGAGACAGAGAAAGACAAATATCATATGATATCACTTATATGTGCAATCTAATAAAGAATGATACAAATGAATTTATTTACAAAACAGAAACAGACTCACAGATCTCAGAATCAAACTTATGGTTACCAAAGGGGAAACGAGGGGAGCGGGGAATGAGAGATTAGGTAGGAGATTGGGATTGACATGTACACACTACTATATATAAAACAGATAACTAATAAGGACCTACTGCATATATAGCACAGGGAACTCTACTCAATATTCTGCAATAACCTACATGGGAAAAGAATCTGAAGAAGAATGGATATATATGTATATAACTGATTCACTTTGCTGTGTACCTGAAACTAACACAACACTGTAAATCAACTATACTCCAATAAAAACTGTTTTTAAAAAAGTAGGGAAAGAAAAGGTATGCCCCCCATGGACAGGCTGGCTCTTACAGCTGTGTCCAGGTAAAGCAAAGTCCTCAGATTCTGTGCCACCACTAACCCTCCTGAGTTGGAGAGAACACAAGGAACATCAATTGCCTCTTTGGGCCTCGTTTCCCTTCACCAGGAAGCTTGGGGTTCTTTAAACTTGCTAAGTAGGTCACAGACAAGCAGACGTCCCTGGTGACACTTTGAAACGCATTATTCATCACATACATATATCCTTCCCTCCCAAGGCTACGTCTCCTGTTTCATTGTGAGCTCTCTGAAGTAGATTCCTGGTTTGCTTTGAATACAGTGTCCCACAAGTGGTGGATTCAAAAGCTCAGGGTTTCCCTTGCCCGTGAGTTACCCGGCAGTGCTGGGAAGGACGAACATCACCTGGCAGAACCTGCACTGTTGCACCCAGTAGGGAGGGATGTAGAGTTACTGGAAGAGGTTTAGAAAGCACATGACCCTTTAAAATCTGGGTCTGACAGCATGAGAAAATTCCCCTGGTATCAGAAACCCTATTTGAATATTTAGGCTCAAGAAAGAAATATCTTCATCTTTATACACAAGAAATAACTCATTATTGCCCAAACGGCTCCATGAAACATTCGTGTCTCCTGAGTGACTAAGAAATGTTCCTCTGTAAAAGGGTTCTGAGAACTAGTAAGTTTGAGAAAGCTGCATTAAATAAAGCTTAAATTTTTGCTGCAGGATTCAGAACCGTTTAGATGCTGAGATAAATTGTGAGTGTCCAAAAGGGGCATAGAATGCATTTCCACAGGTGCTGGAGAGTGGACGGATGTCTGTGGACATTCTCTGAGACCAGCATTTCCAAAGTGCAGGATGTCTACTGCCAATGAGACCCGGGGCACTTATAGGTGAGGCAGATGTAGGCTCAACCAATAGAGAATCACTTTTCTTTGGAGGCCTTTTACTTTCGTAGGAGGTGGGATTGTACGGTGGTTAAGATCACCCCTCCAGACTGCCTCCGCTGGAATCCTCACCATGCCATCTAGTTACCTTGTGCCTCAGCGTCCTCATGTGTAGGATGGAGAAAACCATCTACCTCATACAGTTGTGATGGATATCAAATGAACCTCTATGTGTAAAGGACTTAGGACAGTGCTTAGTACCGGTCATCAAATACAGCTAATGTTATTCTATTACTGTGCGTAGTTCTCTTTTTTACCAGGAAAGCTGGTCTCAAGTTCTTTGTCTTTGACTGTATCTAACTAAAATTCTTAACATTGTCTGTCTTCATCATATTTACTAACTGGTTATTCGCACTGGTGATAAAACAGCTGCTTTAAAAATAAATGCATTTAGAAAGAAATACTTCAAATGTATGAAAAAGAAAAATATTAAGTGAATAAGTGCAGGTGGTACACAAATATAGAAAAAATGGTGACGATATGGCAAAAATTATCAAGATGGTATGTGAGCATCTTGGTAACGCAATGGAGGGACCCAATCTGGGACGCAGCCTAACGCCAGCTACAGAGGGACCAGGCAATTTCCCCGGAAGTCTGAAGGACAACCCCACCACAAAAGCTTTTAAAGCTACTTCCCCCAGTTTTATAATTTCTGCTAGAAAACTGTACAGAAAGATTACAGAAGAATGATTATTAGAAAATGAATATTTCTTAAATTTGAAATTTAAAGTAAGTTCTGCATTCTTAAATGTTTCTTTCAGTGCAGGCGAACTTTTCATACAAATACAACTCTGAAACTCGGGAAAATTCGATTTGTGAAAATGTTAATGTGCTTTCGGAAGCCCTTATAGGTATGAAACTTTTTCTCTGAATATTTTACTGAAGGCAAACTGAAAAAGTGAACTCACATGTTTCACTCATCAGAAATCAAAGCAAAGTCTCGCTAACCGATTTAGTACACATCAAACAGAACAAATTGCTTGGATTCATTTTATAGTCACTCAGTCCTTGAGAAATCATGGCATGAAATTAAGTTGGGTACAGGCCACATGCCCAGTGAGTGTTGAGGGGTAGATGTATAATGCCTGGCAACCCAGTAACGTGCATTTTCTTTTCTCTCCTGCTCCAAAAAGCATGTCAAGATGGCAGCTGAGCTCAGTGGAAATTCTCCCCAGCAAAACAAAGTGGGGAAAATTGTTATTTTTTTTAAAAAAAGAACCACAAACAATTATTTTTAAATTTCTGACAAGGGGCTTCCCTTGTGGTGCAGTGGTTAAGAATCCGCCTGCCAATGCAGGGGACACAGGTTTGAGCCCTGGTCTGGGATGATTCCACATGCTGCAGAGCAACTAAGCCCATATGCCACAACCACTGAGCCCATGCGCCACAACTACTGAACCCACATACCACAACTACTGAGGCCCGCGCACCTAGAGCCTGTGCTCCGCAACAAGAGAAGCCACCACAATGAGAAGCCCGCACACCGCAACAAAGAGTATAGCCCCGCTCGCCGCACTAGAGAAAGCCTGCGTGCAGCAACGAAGACCCAACACAGCCAAAAATAATAAATAAATATATTTTTTTAAAAATCTCTGACAATTGTCCTGAGGACATACAGCAAATGGAGAAATAGTCATTCTAGAAAATCTATGAAGTATAAGCTCAGCCAGCACCTGTGACCTTTGAGCCATGACCTCCCTAAACCCTCCCCGCCCACAGCTCCATGTTCTGGAAACGCTACCCTGGGTCCTCTCTTCTGAGCAGGCGTGGCCAAGAAGATGGAGGTTCTCTCTCCCGTCAATGCCCCATCTGGGGCTATGGTTTCACCTTGGGAGAGACAGGCTGCCCGCATCTCACATCCTCCCCAGTACTTTATTGCAGAAGCTCTATTCCAGGCAAGAGTGGCCAAGAGACTAGGGCCTCCTTGCACTCATAGCGCTGAAGCTCCACCACAGGCAGGACAGGCCAAGGCTACCGGGGGCTTGAATGCTCCTGCCCCAGCTCTCAATTCCACCCAGGAGGGGCCAAGAAGACAAGGGGCTACCGTTTCTGCCTCCCTCAGTGCCCACTTGTAGAGCAGGGGTGTCACTCCCAGAAAAAGAGGGTCCCCACCCTCAGTTCCAGTGTAGGGCACAGGGGTTTGTCCAGGGGCAAGGCAGGCCATAAAGATGAAGGTCTCCACCGCTCTGCCTGAGGAGGCTTTCTTTGGAACAGAGCCCAGAGAATTGCATACCTAAGCGTGTTGTCAAAAGCAATGGCGATCTGGTGGAGAGCATTAAAGGAGGCTGGTAGCTCCACGGTGCAAGTAAAACAGCAGAGCGCCCGGAAGTTCAAGAGAACCAGAGAAAGAGCCCAGGAAGCGTCCTCCTGGGATCCCAGTCAATCTGGGGGTGCTCAGGCTGCACCACTGAGGAGTAATCAGAGCAGGATTGGGACAGACTTCAAAGCATTCCCAAACCAACACAGACCCACCAACACGGCAGAAGCTTCACTGGCACAACACAACCTCTGAAAAAATACTGACTGAACAGTAAGCTACTCCAACCCAGGGGGCTACTCCTAGGAAGCCAAGTTTGTAACTAAAAATCACACTTATTCCTGGGAGCCTGGAAGACTGCATGTCCAAGACGGAGCCCTCTCGGAAGTGATCAGAGAGGGAATTCCAAGCTGCTAGTCCCTGGCTGAATGTGGAGCCAAAAATGTAAATTCCCTGAAGTGTGATAGCAACGTACA